TGTGGGGCGGATATGGGGTGTGGGGCGGATATGGGGTGTGGGGCGGATATGGGGTGTGGGGCGGATATGGGGTGTGGGGCGGATATGGGGTGTGGGGCGGATATGGGGTGTGGGGCGGATATGGGGTGTGGGGCGGATATGGGGTGTGGGGCGGATATGGGTGTGGGGCGGATATGGGGTGTGGGGCGGATATGGGGTGTGGGGCGGATATGGGGTGTGGGGCGGATATGGGGTGTGGGGCGGATATGGGGTGTGGGGCGGATATGGGGTGTGGGGCGGATATGGGGTGTGGGGCGGATATGGGGTGTGGGGCGGATATGGGGTGTGGGGCGGATATGGGGTGTGGGGCGGATATGGGGTGTGGGGCGGATATGGGGTGTGGGGCGGATATGGGGTGTGGGGCGGATATGGGGTGTGGGCGGATATGGGTGTGGGGCGGATATGGGGTGTGGGGCGGATATGGGGTGTGGGGCGGATATGGGGTGTGGGGCGGATATGGGGTGTGGGGCGGATATGGGGTGTGGGGCGGATATGGGGTGTGGGGCGGATATGGGGTGTGGGGCGGATATGGGGTGTGGGGCGGATATGGGGTGTGGGGCGGATATGGGGTGTGGGGCGGATATGGGGTGTGGGGCGGATATGGGGTGTGGGGCGGATATGGGGTGTGGGGCGGATATGGGGTGTGGGGCGGATATGGGGTGTGGGGCGGATATGGGGTGTGGGGCGGATATGGGGTGTGGGGCGGATATGGGGTGTGGGGCGGATATGGGGTGTGGGGCGGATATGGGGTGTGGGGCGGATATGGGGTGTGGGGCGGATATGGGGTGTGGGGCGGATATGGGGTGTGGGGCGGATATGGGGTGTGGGGCGGATATGGGGTGTGGGGCGGATATGGGGTGTGGGGCGGATATGGGGTGTGGGGCGGATATGGGGTGTGGGGCGGATATGGGGTGTGGGGCGGATATGGGGTGTGGGGCGGATATGGGGTGTGGGGCGGATATGGGGTGTGGGGCGGATATGGGGTGTGGGGCGGATATGGGGTGTGGGGCGGATATGGGGTGTGGGGCGGATATGGGGTGTGGGGCGGATATGGGGTGTGGGGCGGATATGGGGTGTGGGGCGGATATGGGGTGTGGGGCGGATATGGGGTGTGGGGCGGATATGGGGTGTGGGGCGGATATGGGGTGTGGGGCGGATATGGGGTGTGGGGCGGATATGGGGTGTGGGGCGGATATGGGGTGTGGGGCGGATATGGGGTGTGGGGCGGATATGGGGTGTGGGGCGGATATGGGGTGTGGGGCGGATATGGGGTGTGGGGCGGATATGGGGTGTGGGGCGGATATGGGGTGTGGGGCGGATATGGGGTGTGGGGCGGATATGGGGTGTGGGGCGGATATGGGGTGTGGGGCGGATATGGGGTGTGGGGCGGATATGGGGTGTGGGGCGGATATGGGGTGTGGGGCGGATATGGGGTGTGGGGCGGATATGGGGTGTGGGGCGGATATGGGGTGTGGGGCGGATATGGGGTGTGGGGCGGATATGGGGTGTGGGGCGGATATGGGGTGTGGGGCGGATATGGGGTGTGGGGCGGATATGGGGTGTGGGGCGGATATGGGGTGTGGGGCGGATATGGGGGTGTGGGGCGGATATGGGGTGTGGGGCGGATATGGGGTGTGGGGCGGATATGGGGTGTGGGGCGGATATGGGGTGTGGGGCGGATATGGGGTGTGGGGCGGATATGGGGTGTGGGGCGGATATGGGGTGTGGGGCGGATATGGGGTGTGGGGCGGATATGGGGTGTGGGGCGGATATGGGGTGTGGGGCGGATATGGGGTGTGGGGCGGATATGGGGTGTGGGGCGGATATGGGGTGTGGGGCGGATATGGGGTGTGGGGCGGATATGGGGTGTGGGGCGGATATGGGGTGTGGGGCGGATATGGGGTGTGGGGCGGATATGGGGTGTGGGGCGGATATGGGGTGTGGGGCGGATATGGGGTGTGGGGCGGATATGGGGTGTGGGGCGGATATGGGGTGTGGGGCGGATATGGGGTGTGGGGCGGATATGGGGTGTGGGGCGGATATGGGGTGTGGGGCGGATATGGGGTGTGGGGCGGATATGGGGTGTGGGGCGGATATGGGGTGTGGGGCGGATATGGGGTGTGGGGCGGATATGGGGTGTGGGGCGGATATGGGGTGTGGGGCGGATATGGGGTGTGGGGCGGATATGGGGTGTGGGGCGGATATGGGGTGTGGGGCGGATATGGGGTGTGGGGCGGATATGGGGTGTGGGGCGGATATGGGGTGTGGGGCGGATATGGGGTGTGGGGCGGATATGGGGTGTGGGGCGGATATGGGGTGTGGGGCGGATATGGGGTGTGGGGCGGATATGGGGTGTGGGGCGGATATGGGGTGTGGGGCGGATATGGGGTGTGGGGCGGATATGGGTGTGGGGCGGATATGGGGTGTGGGGCGGATATGGGGTGTGGGGCGGATATGGGGTGTGGGGCGGATATGGGGTGTGGGGCGGATATGGGGTGTGGGGCGGATATGGGTGTGGGGCGGATATGGGGTGTGGGGCGGATATGGGGTGTGGGGCGGATATGGGGTGTGGGGCGGATATGGGGTGTGGGGCGGATATGGGGTGTGGGGCGGATATGGGGTGTGGGGCGGATATGGGGTGTGGGGCGGATATGGGGTGTGGGGCGGATATGGGGTGTGGGGCGGATATGGGGTGTGGGGCGGATATGGGGTGTGGGGCGGATATGGGGTGTGGGGCGGATATGGGGTGTGGGGCGGGGGGTCTGGATTTGGGGCATGGATATGATGGCGCTGAATGAGAGGGAGGTGAGGCAATTGGCGTGTGCGGCTTGGTGCGTGGGGCTTCTTATGGATATGATGGCTCTCAGTGAGAGGGAGGTGAGGCGATGGGACTCTTAGAATCTGTGGTGTGGGGCGTGTGGGGCGTGTGGGGCGTGTGGGGCGTGGGGCGTGTGGGGCGTGGGGCGTGTGGGGCGTGGGGTGTGTGGGGCGTGAGGCGTGTGGGGCGTGAGGCGTGGGGCGGCTCATGGATATGATGGGTCTGAGCGAGAGGGAGCTGAGGGACAGGCAGGCAAAACTGCTACGCTGTTTCTGTGAGATTGCCGCTCTCTGTTTCTGCATGCTCGTTTTCAGTGTCTCTGTTCCACCCGCGCCCCCCACCCCTGCTCGCTTCCCAGTCCACCCCCCCTTTCCACCCCTCCTTCCGCCCCTCTTTCTCTCCCAACCCTTACTCATCTCCCTTCTTTCCTTTTATCAGCATTGTCGCTTGCACTCTTCTTTTGAGACGTCCCTACTCAACAGCCTCCCCCTTCCAACCCTCCCTTATGCTGCGCTTTTCCCTTTATGAAAGAAATCCATGACACTTTTTCTCACCTTTTAAGATTACTAGCAATGCATGTGATGGTTAGTTCTGAAATTGTGTGTGTCTGATTGCGCCATGCTGCTCGGATTGCATTGCATGGCATTGCATGCTATGGCATGGCATGGCTGATTGCATTGCATGGGATGGCATGGTTGATTGCATTGCATGGCATGGCATGGCTGATTGCATTGCATGGGATGGCATGGTTGATTGCATTGCATGGCATGGCATGGCTGATTGCATTGCATGGCATGGCATGGCTGATTGCATTGCATGGCATGGCATGGCTGATTGCATTGCATGGCATGGCATGGCTGATTGCATTGCATGGCATGTCATGGATGGCTTGGTGTGGAATGTCACGGCATGGCGATATTTTTGTCAACTTGCCATGGCATGGCATGATCAGGTGATTCGCAACGAGGCTCTGGTTCTCATGATCAACCTCACTCGGTCCGCAGAGGTACGTTGAATGTGGACCGTTCACTGTGCACTTTGCATTGTGCTGTGCACCGAGCGCACTGCTCTACACTGTGTGTGTGTATTGTAGCCAAGTCAGAACTGATGGGGCCAAGGAGGCACACACACACGGAGGCTCTGGTGATCATGATCAACCTCACATGCTTCGCTGAGGTACGTTGAATGTGGACTGTATGTATACTGTGCACCATGCGCACTGGGGCGGATGGTGATGCAGGGCTATACTCACCTCATCACCAACCTCCTCCGCTCTACCGCATCCCTCACTCCGCTCCACTCCCTCTCCACCCCTTCCCACCGGCGTCTCCCTCTCTCTCGCCTTCTCCCCCTGTCTCCTTCTCCCTCCGGCTCCCCCTCTCTCCCCGTTTTCCCTGTTCTTTACCTCCCCCTCTCTTCTGTTCTCCAGGAGATTCAAAAGACTGGTATTCGAGGGGGCATTCGAACGAGCACTCAACATCATCCGAGACAAGGGAGGGGCGGATGGGAGCATCGTCGTACAGGAATGCATAGAGCTCATCAACAACCTCTCACTCCCCTCTCCACCCTTTCCCTCACACTGTCCCTCTCTCCCCTTCTCTCCCTCTGTCCATCTCCTTCCTGCTCCCCCACACACACCCCTCCCTCTCTCTCCCCGCACCAGGAAATCCAAAAGATCGTCGTGTTTGAGGGGGCATTTGAACGAGCCCTCAACATTATTCGAGACGAGGGAGGGGCGGATGGGGGCATCGTTGTTCAGGACTGCATAGAGCTCATCAACAACCTCCTCCGCTCCAACGTATCAAATCAAATCTTCCTCCGGGAAACCCTCGGCCTGTCCCGCATCCCAGCGCTGCTCCTCTCCCTCCGAAAATATGCCACCGCTGCCGCTGCCGGCAGCAACAGCACCAGTACCACCAGCAGCAGCAACGAGACTACCAACAACAGTGGCAGTGGCGGCGGCAGCGGTAGCGGCAGTGCTATTTTGGAAAGAACCGAACCTCTGACCCGGCAAAAGGCAGCAAATCTCCTCTGTGGGCTCGAAACTGTCGCTCTGCTGCTCGCCCGAAACCCCCACGCGGCCACTCTGAAAGACGACACGAACCTGATCGCCAACCAGACTTTACTGGGCCACGCAAAGCTGATGGATTCTCTGCTGGCTCTAGCCTTCGATCCGCTTGTAAACTCCACGGCGATTCGGACGCAAGCGCTGAAGGCGTTGGGAGGGCTCGTGCTGGGGCATGCTGCGAATCGGGAGGAGCTTGGGAGTAAGCTGATTAGCCGATCTGATCCGACGACGTTTCTGTATCGGGATGCTGGGTGGGGGCCGAAGAGGGGGAGGAGGGGAGGAGGAGGAGGGGAGGGTGGATGGGGAGAGGAGGAGGATGGAGAGGAGGAGGAGGAGGAGGGTTTGTTGAGGGGGGTGGGGGAGGAGATGGAGCCGGCATTGCACTGTGTGCTGCGGGTGGCACTGAGAGCGAGTACCATGCGGGAGAGCTCTGCTGCTGACTATGTGATTCGGTGCTTCTGTGAGGTGTGTGCGTGTTGGGGAGGATTGTGAAATGTGTGTGTGGGGGAGTGCAGGTAGTAACCGAGGTAGGGGGATCTGGGTGGCTCTGAGAGCGAGTACCATGTGGGAGAGCTCTGCTGCTGACTATGTGATTCGGTGCTTCTGTGAGGTGCGTGTGTGGGGGTTGTGAGTTGCATGTGTGGGAGGAATGGGATTAAGCGGGCCCTGAGGGCGAGTACCATGCGGGAGAGCTCTGCTGTTGACTATGGCATCCGATGCTTCTGTAAGGTGTGTATGTGGGGGTGGGAGAGAGGGGGGTAGGGGGGTATGATGGTTGGGGTTGACGACAGGGTAGCCCCTAGCCTCCTCTCCTCCACTTCCCTTGCCCGCCTTCGTTCCCAGGGGGGGCAGACCATCACCATGCTAGCGTCCACTATCACTCCCCTGCCTCAAGGCGTCTCAAGGTTCATCGTGGAGTAGCGGCAAACCTGACTTTTGAGGCGCCTCAAAAGTCGCCTCAAAAGTTTTGAGGCGCCTCAAAAGTCCCCTGCCTCAAGGATCAAGGTTCATCGTGGAGTAGGTGCAAACCTGAAGGAATCACTTCAGCAAAAGGATCAAGACTTGTGTTTTGAGACGTCTCAAAATACTTCAGCATAAGGATCAAGACTTGTGAAACATGCTCCAGAAATTCAGAGAGATCTCAAAACCTTCAAACTCAAGAAAACCCTTATTTGCAAACTAGTTTCGGCCTTCCGGACACAACCCCGCTAGGCCTTCATCAGTGCTGCTTTACAGGTTGCCTCCACTTCCCTTGCCCGCCTTCGTTCCCAGGGGGGGCAGACCATCACCATGCTAGCGTCCACTATCACTCCCCTGCCTCAAGGCGTCTCAAGGCGTCACAAAGTTACCTCGTCGCCATTCCTTATCCTTGCCCTTGCCACCCTTGCCTCCCTTGCCTCCCTTGCTCCCCCTGCAGGGCAACAGCGAGGGGCAGACCATGCTAGCGTCCACCATCACACCCCTGCCTCAAGGCGTCGCGGGCAAGGGCAAGAGAGGAGGAGGAGCAATGGGGCCTGATGCGGCTGATGATGCGGCAAACCTGACGTTTGGAGGGTGAGTGAGTGTGGTGCATGGAACATGGTGAGGGTGAGTGTGGTGGTGCATGAAGCATGGTGAGGGTGAGTGTGATAATGCAGGAAGCATGGTGAGGGTGAGTGCGATGATGCGTGGAGAATTTTGAGGTCAAGTTTGGCGACGCCTGTTTTGGAAAAAAAAAGAAGGCATCTTTGTGCGGGCACTGCTAGCGGGGCAGAGTGAGGCACATGATAAAAGTGTTGTTTTGAGACACATCGTTGTGCCCGCACTGCTAACCGGGGTAACGAGCGAGCCTTGGAGGGAATCTGCTGGGCAGCGAGTGTGTTGTTGCACCTCCTCACGGGCAACTCCCTGTGTTCCTCTCTTTCCCCACACACTCCCTTTCAGCATCTTGGTGAGGGCCCTCATAGCGGGGCAGAGCGAGCAAGCCCTAGAAGCAAGCTGCCGGGCAGCCAGCGTGCTCTCGCACCTGCTCACGGGCAACTCAGCAGCCAAGGAGCGAGTGCTGCGTATCCCCCTGCAGATCCCCACCTCTGCCATCGCCCCTCCTGAACTCCTCATGCCCCTCCCGTTCTCTCCTCTCTCCCTCCTCTCCCTCCCACCTCCCCCCTCCCAGCATCTTGGTCCGTGCGCTGATAGCAGGGCAAAGCGAGCAAGCCCTGGAGGGAAGCTGCCGGGCAGCCAGCATTCTCTCGCACCTGCTCACCGCCAACTCAGCAGCCAAGGAGCGAGTGCTGCGTATCCCCCTGCAGATCCCCACCTCCGCCCTCGCCCCTCCCGAGCTCCTCATGCCTCGCATCATGCGCTATCTCGCTGCCGCCGCCGCCCCTCCCTCTCCTCCCCTTCCCACTTCCTCACACCCGCACTCGCACCACCAATCACCCTCTTCTCACTCTCTCTACTCCTCGTTCGCCTCGTCGTTCTCCTCCTTCTCCTCCTCCCCCTCCTCTTCCTCCTCCTCCTCCTCCCCGTCGGCCGTCTGGCTTCAACCCGTGCTGCTGCGCCTGCTGCTGACGTGGCTCTCCGACTGCCCGCCAGCTGTCGCGGCCTTCCTCGCGCCGCCCGGCCACCTGCCGTTCCTCGTCGGCCTCGTCAGCGCCGCCAGCTCAGCCGCCACCGCCGCCGCGCTGCCAGGTGGCGGCGCGGGAGAGGACGGGGAGGATCAGGGGGGATCGGGCGGGGGAGGAGGGTATGGGGATGGGTATTCCGACGGGTATGACGCAGCAGGTGACAGGAAACGAAGCGGAGGAGGAGTGGGGGGAGAGGTCGACAGGAGAGGGGCAGACGAGACAGCCAGAGCAGCAGGAGCAGGAGCAGGAGGAGCAGGAGGCGTGGCAGTGCATGTAGGGGGCCTAGCCTCTCTCGTCCTAGGAGCGTGCGTTGTATACAACGATAGCACAGGCCCCACAGACGCAGCCACAGTGGTGGATATAATCACGCAGCGCATCGGCCTTGCTGCTTTCTTCGCCCGTATAGAGGACTTGAAGAGAGATCCGTATTTCCTTACAGGGGGAGCAGGGTCGCGACCGCCCAAGCCGCTCACGAGAAGCACGGCTGCTGCGGTGGCAGCTGCTGGGGGAACGGGAGGGGGAACGGGGGGGGATGGAGGAGCGGGGGGAAGAGGGAGCAGCAGTGGCGGCAAGGGCAGTGAGATAACAGAGGAAGGCGGGCCGGGCAATTCTGCTTCTGCCTCTGCTGCTGCTGGGCTTGCAACAGCAGCAAGTCGCGTACCGCCTGTTTCTAGTGCGTCGAGTTTGGATTTCGAGCCGCCCATTGCCTCGTTCTACGACCGCGAGTTTGTGCGGTCGGTGCTGGTGCTGGAGGAGGCAGTGCGGTTGAGAGTGGTGCAGCTGTTTTCGATGCCGAGAGGCGGGGGTGGGGAGGGAGAAGGCGGAGGAGGAGGGGCAGTGGATGTGAATCGGAAGGAGGGGGAGAGCGAGGGGGAGTATGCGGGGAGGTTGAGAGCAATGCTTCAGTCGCAGCATCAAGAGCTCCAGGTAAGCTCCTACCAACGTCATGTTCCTTCAACCGTGCCATGCTTTGCACGCCCTAGCTCTTTTTTGGAGGGGGGGGGGCGTGGATGCGAATGGGAAGGAGGGGGAGAGCGAGTGGGAGTATGCGGGGAGGCTTCAAGCAGTGGTGCAGTCACAGCATCAAGAGCACCTCCCTACCTCTCTGGGCTGATTTTTGAGTCGAATAAAAAAGCTGACTTTTGACTTTTGAGTCGACTCAAAAGGAGAGCGAGTGGGAGTATGCGGGGAGGCTTCAAGCAGTGGTGCAGTCACAGCATCAAGAGCACCTCCCTACCTCTCTGGTAGGTACTTTTTCTCCCTTTCCCCCACCCTGCTCCCTTCAGAACCTGCGCAGCCACAATGTGGCTCTCGCAAACGATGCCATGCAACTCACCTCTCTTTACCCCTTTTCCCCCGAATCACCCCCTCCTCTACCCCCTCCCCCCCCGCAGCACCTGCGTTGTCGGAACATGGCTCTCGCGAACGACGCAAGTTCAGATTCGAATTTGAAGAGTTGTTTAAACTGGCTCTCTAAGCGGGCTCCTTCCACCCATTCACTCGCGAAAACGCTCTAGCTAGCTGTAAACCGGGCTCCTTCCACCCATTCACCCGATCTATGGGGCTTGTCTCGTCGCCCTAAAGTAACGTACGAGTTGATGGATCATGGAAGTAAGGCCTCGGCAGTTCACCTGTCCGTTACTGACAGCTGCCGCAGCACCTGTGCAGTAGGAACGTGGCTCTCTTCCTCACCCCGTTTTCCCCGTCGCTCTTACCCCTTCCCCCTTCTCCCGTCCTCCTTCCCCTCCCCTCCTCCTCACAACCACAGCACCTGCGCAGTTGGAACGTGGCCCTCGCAAAGGACGTCATGCACCTCTCTTCCTCACCTGCCTTCTGCCATTACCCCCCCGCTCTTCTCTCCTCCTGTCTCTTCCCCCCAACACAGCACCTGCGCAGTCGCAACGTGGCTCTCGCGAAAGACGCCATGCAACTCGCCCCACAATCTCCCTCCTCTGGTGCCGGCGCCAGCGACCAATCACATGTCGCCACGTCAGCGGACAGCGCGGGCTCGGCGCCAACTCACGCTGAGGTGGAAGCCGCCCGGCGCCAGCTGGCGGAGGCGGAAGCGAGCGTGGCGACGCTTCGAGGGGAGCAAGAGACACTTATGGGAGAACTCATGCAGGTGGGGTTTGTATACTTCAAGTACACTAGATAAGTCACACTTTATATGAATGCACTCAATACAGTCACAGTTGATACAGATGCACTCGAAACAACAGGCAAGCAGGCCCTATCCTTGTCCTTCCTACCATAGTCTAGAACAAGAGGGTCTCAGACTAGAATGGGAGGTCAAAACCTTGATGACTGGAGCCCCGCTTCTCACTCTTTGCCCACTTGAGTTGCTCTTTGCTCTTCCTTCTCCTCCTCCCCCATCATTCTGCCTTCCTCCCTTTCCCCCTCCAGGTGAGGCCAGTGGCAGCAGGGAAGGAAGCAGACTTGCTGGCTCTTATTTTAATGGCTTACCACAGTGTAGAGCAGGAAGTTATTAGGCTACATCAGGGGGCATCACCCTTAGCCTCACCACTACTTCCTCCGTTCCTCTTCCATTCTACCCCCCCCTCTCCCCCACCCTCTCGCAGCAGGTGCGGCAAGTGGGAGCAGGCAAGGAAGCAGACCTGCAGGCTCTATCCATGGCCTATCACAGCCTAGAGCAGGAGAATCTCAGACTAGAAGGGTAGGTCATATCCTACACCCCCAGTGCTCACTCCTGTCCCCCCGCCCTCCTTGTTGCTTATTTCCTCCTCCCCTCCCCGTCCCAGGTGCGACAAGTGGCAGCAGGCAAGGAAGCAGACCTGCAGGCTCTATCAATGGCCTACCACAGTCTAGAGCAGGAGAATCTCAGACTAGAAGGGGAGGTCAAAACCCTCCAGTCCACCACTGAAACCCTCCGAGCCAGCTTGGCTTCGGCCGAAGCTGCTGCCGCAGCTGCTGGCTCGGGAGGTGCGACAGGGGCAGGAGCAGGCTCTGGGATGCCCGAAGCTGAAGTGGAGGAGCGGGTGGAGGCGGCTCGGCAGGAGGCTCGGGAGGAGGCGCAGCGGGAGAGTGAGACGGAGCTGAATGACCTGCTGGTGTGTTTGGGGCAGGAGGAGAAGAAGGTGGAGGTGTTAAGAGGGAGGCTGGTTGAACTTGGGGAGGATGTGGATGCTTTGATGGATGGAATAGTGGAGGGAGAGGAGGGGGGCGGGGAGGAGGAGGAGGGGTGACCAGGGGTTATTTTTCATTTGAAGCAAGAAGCTGAAATGGGTTGAGGGGGAGGCTGGTTGAATTTGGGGACGATGTGGATGGTTTGATGGACGGAATAGTGGAGGGAGAGGAGGGGGGTGGGAAGGAGGAGGAGGGGTGAGTGGAGGGTAGGAGGATGAGGGGAAAGTGGAAGATAGGTGGAAGGAGAAGAAGCGCTGAGGGCGAGGGAGAGTGAGACGGAGCTGACTGACTTGTTGTGTTTGGGGCAGGAGGTGACGAAGGTGGAGGGTAGGAGGATGAGGGGAAGGTGGAGGATAAGTGGAAAAGAAGAAGCGCTGAGGGCAAGGGAGAGTGAGACAGAGCTGAATGATTTGTTGGTGTGTTTGGGGCTGGAGGAGAAGAAGGTGGAGGTGTTAAGAGGGAGGCTGGTTGAACTTGGATGTGGATGCTTTGATGGAAGGGTTGGTAGACGGAGAGGAGGGGGTGCAGGGGAGGAGGAGGAGGGGTGAGAGGAGGGTGTGAGGTGTGTTGACAAGGGGAAGATGAGTGGTGGAAGGGAGGGGGAGGGGGGAATGAGAGGAGGATAGGAGGACGGGGTTTGACAACCATGTTATTCAATTTTAGGAGTGTGTATTGTCAAGGCCTTGTTCTAGTGGCCGAGACGGATAAAAGGCCGAATAACTTTGACTCAGTGCTTGGGAAGCGTGGTTTTGGTGAGAACATGTGCTATCGAGGTTGGTTGTGTGGTCCTTTTTTAAGAACCATATATAATGGTTATGATTATATTGTACTGTGGCTGACATCTATTGTACTGGGAAGCGCCTGCTACACTTGCTCACAGCGGATTCACCTTTCCACTTGTCAGTAAACTATGAACAAGTGAATGCATTCCAAATGGAGGCCACAGGCCACCGCAATACCAGGAAGGATACGACAACATGAAACGAATGGATGTGACGAGACCACGTACCGTCATCGCCCGGATATAAGACAGTGTTGAATAGTAGACAGGGGCTGTCTATTATACGGGTGTCTCTTATAAACAGGCTAGCCTTTTTATACGACACCTATTTGTGTGTACGAGATAAGACATATGTGTCTTATAATCGAAACTGCAATGTATTATAGTGAAAATTGAAATACCGCGTACATTTTTACCCTTGCGACACGCGAATTCTGCCACGTGCTGAGTCACATACTACCAAATTTGACTCTGCAAGTATTCGGGATGACGTGGCGTTCCGAACAATGGTTGCCGAAGTGGCAACTTCGCAACATCGACACTCTTAATGAGAAACTCTTTTCAAGATGCGTGAAAATCTTTCTAAGTAGTTTAAAAAGGTTTCCATTTATAAGACTTATAAGACACCCAAAACCTCCCCAAATACAAGATAACCCAAGCATTTTTTTTAGTGTATGAGATAAGACATATATGTCTTATATCCGGGCGATGACGGTACGTACGTCCATTCTCATGTGCATTGCACAGTGTCGGGCACGAGTCACGAACATTGCATTCCCCTCCACGAGTCACACAAAGCATGAAACGACACGTCGACACGACACGACGACATGACATGACCAAGCAAGGGGTGGCGCTGCGTGTCAAATTACATTTGTATGTGTAGGCTGTAGTGGGGTAGCCTCTACTAAGTACAACACTTTAGGTCAAACCTAGTACTTGTACTATCCTTGCTTGCTAGTCAATCATTCCTGCACAGTTGATTCTGACATGGTATTCAGAGCAGGAAACCTGTTAGGTTTTTAGGGCCCACCGATCGTTCCGCTAGTTCCTGCCCGAAGCGCCCTTGCGCTGTCCGGCCCTCTCACACAGTGTCACGCTGCCCTGCAGCTACTCGCACTGCCTGCCCTAGCGCGCTGCCCTGCTGTCACGCGCGCCCCTGCTGCCCGCGAGCAGCTCCTGCCCCGAGCGCCCTTGCTGCCCGCGAGCAGCCCCTGACCCGAGCGCCCCTGCTGCCCGCGAGCAGCCCCTGCCCTGCGCGCCCCTTCTGCCCGCGAGCAGCCCCGCAGCCCAGCGTGCCCCGCAGCCCTAAACGCGCCAGCGCGCCCCGCTGCTAAACGCGCCAGCGCGCCCCGCAGCCCAGCGCGCCCCGCAACCCTAAATAATAATAATAATAATAATAATAATAATAATAATAAAAAAAAAAAAGCCCAGCGCGCCCTGCTGCCCAGCGCGCTGCTGCTGCACAGCGGCTACTGCTGCTGCTGCTGCTACTCATGCTACTGCTGCTGCTCGTGCTACTGTTGCTGTTGGTGGAGGTGCTGCTGGGAGTGCTGGAGGAGCCGCCGCCCAGCCCCACCGAGCCGCCCTGCTGCTACTACTGCTGCTACTACTGCTGCTGCTGCTGCTGCTCGTGCTACTGCTGCTGCTGGTGGAGGTGCGGCTGGGACTACTGGAAGTGCTGCTGGTGCTGGAGGTGCTGGACCTACTACTGACCGTCACTGCCTGTCATGGCCACTATCACGGCAGTTGCAGCGGCTAGGGGTGGACAGCAGCGGTCACTGCCTCTCCTGGACGACCCTACCCCTCAGCAGCTTCGTGAGGTAGTCCTGGTGGTGAAGTAGTCCTGGTGGTGGAGGTTTTGGTTTTATGTGGCCTCAGCGACCTCGCGACTGTGCTTCTCAGCGATGCGTCCCTGGTCGTGTAGAGGCTGCTGCTCTCGGTTTTAGTGAGTCTGCTGTCGCTCCAGGTGCTGGTGAGTCTGCTGCAGCTCTAGGTGCTCGTGAGTCTGCCGACGCTCTAGGTGCTAGTGCGTCTATTGCCACAGGTCCTGCCTCAGCTGAGGCCTTGCACACTTTCACGCTTGACTCAGGCGCGTCACGTTGCTTCTTTCGTGATTGCACCATAATCACACCACTCGCAGCACCTGTCCCAGTCTCACTGGCTGACCCGACTGGGGGCCCAGTAGTTGCGCGAGCCTCCACTGTCCTCTCGTGTCTGGCAGTCCCCTCCGGGTCTCTCTCAGGTCTCCACCTCCCCGCGTTCTCGACGAACTTGTTGAGCAACGCAGTTCTCCCGGAATGAATGGGTTGACACCTTCATTCCTGGAGGACAGCATGTGGCAATCTGTAAGTGCTCACGGACTGGCCGTCACCTTGCTACGTTCACTCGTCAGCCTGGGTCCGGTCAGTACACTGTCAACATATATTTTATATGTGTTGTTTAGGTTAGTCTAGGTGTGACATTTCTACTTACTTGCATGATTAGGGTTTGCTATATCTAGGGTTGTACTTCACATTTTCTATCAATTCATTCTTATCGTAACATGGTATAGAGCTAGGTTTCCCTTAGGCGATTTTTCCCCTAGGCGATTTTTTTCCCTTAGGCGAAATTTCTCTCGATAGTCTATGGGCCCACCACCCGCGCGCCTCGTAGCGACCCATAGCCCGAAGCGCCCTGCCCCGTAGAGCCCGAGTAGGTCGCGCCCCCGGTCGACATCGCGCGTCACCCGTTTCTGCCCTGCGCCCCACTCGTTTTACCCCGTGTGTTGCCCCCCAGTCCTCTAGCGCGCAGCAGACGAACGCACGTAGCTGCGCGCGCAGCCTTAGTCGCACCCGCAGCTCCGCGCTAGTACGTCGTAGCCGCGCGCACGTGCAGCCCACCGTCGTAACCGGCCCCCAGACCTGAAATCCCCCTCAGAACCGCACAGAACCGCCGCCTTAACAGCTTCCCCACCTGAAAACCGCCGCCCCAGACCTGACAACCGCCGCCCCACCTGGAAACCTGCTGCCCCACCCGTTCCAGGCACCTCACCCGGGATCAGCCGCCCCACCCAGTCCTCTCCACCGCATTGAACCGCACAGAACTGCACATAACTGCACAGAACCGTACAGAACCGCCGCCTTAACAGCTTCCCCACCTGAAAACCACCGCCCCAGACCTGACAACCGCCGCCCCACCTGGAAACCTGCTGCCCCACCCGTTCCAGGCACCTCACCCGGAATCAGCTGCCCCACCCAGTCCTCTCCACCGCATTGAACCTCACAGAACCGCACAGTACTGCACATAACCGCACAGAACTGCACAGAACCGCCGCCTCACCCGTAGCCCGCTGCCTTAACAGCTTCCCCACCTGAAACCTGCCTCCCCACGATCTACCACACCCGCCGTCAGTAGCCCCAGCCGATTACACTGCCGCCAGCTACACCAGCAGCAGCATAGGCTGCCCCCAGCGCACCAGCAGCAACGTAGGCTGCCCCCAGCAGAACCAGTAGAACCAGCAGAACCAGCAGAACCAGCAGAACCAGCAAAACCAGCAGAACCAGCAGAACCAGCAGAACCAGCAGAACCAGCAGAACCAGCAGAACCAGCAGCAGCATAGGCTGCCGCCAGCACACTAGCAGCAGCATAGGCTGCCCCCAGCGCACCAGCAGCAGCGTAGGCTGCCCCCAGCAGAACCAGAAGCGGCATAGGCTGCCACCAGCGCACCAGCAGCAGCATTGGCTGCCCCCAGCAAAACCAGTAGCAGCTAAGGCTGCCCCCAGCAGAGCCAGAAGCAGCATAGGCTGCCTCCAGCGAACCAGCAGCAGCATAGGCTGCCGCCAGAGCACCAGCAGCAGCAGCATAGGCTGCCCCCAGCGCACCAGCAGCAGCATAGGCTGCCCCCAGCGCACCAGCAGCAGCTTAGGCTACCGCCAGCGCACCAGCAGCAGCTTAGGCAACTGCCAGCGCACTAGCAGCAGCATTGGCTGCCCCCTGGAGAACCAGTAGCAGCCTAGGCTGCCTCTCAGCAGAACCAGAAGCAGCACAGGCTGCCCCCAGCGCACCAGCAGCAGCTTAGGCTGCCCCCAGCAGAACCAGCAGCAGCATAGGCTCACATGGCATGTACTAGGGTTCTACAGCAGCAGGGCCAGCCGCAGCACTCCCGTCAGTGGGGGCCTGCGGGTCCAAAGTGTGGCGCCCCCAGCAGTGGCTCAGCTAGCAGTGGGCGAGACGTCGGCCCCTGCGGGTACCGGGCCCTGACAGGCCCTGGTGCTGGCACTACCTGCTGGAGTCCTG